TTTTGGGAATTCTGATATTCCTAACATTCAAGAAATTCCGGAATTCAAAAAATTGTAAAAATTGAAATTTTCGGTTCTGAATTTTTTTTGAGTCTGCAAATCTAATTTTTTGTCCTTTTTAAAAAATGTTTAGATACTCAACGTGTTGGGGTTTCGAATTTTCCGAATTTTCAGAAATATCTGAAGTTTTACAAAATACAAAACATTCAGAACTTCCGGAAATTTCAGTCCTTTGACTTTAACGATTCCTAGATCCTGAGATTCTTAGATTCTGAAATTCTTGAATTCTGAGATACTGATTCTGATTCTGAGAATATAGGATTTTGAGATTCTGGGATTCAGGAATTCTTGTATTCTTAGATCCTGAGATTCTAAGATTCTGATATTCTGAAATTCTGAAAATCCAGAAAAAAAGAACTAACCTTTCTGATTATACACTCCCTTGGCATCATCTGTCTTTGAGATGTCATAGACCTCCCGACGTGGCTCCTCCTTGAACAAGGTGTCGTTGGTTTTGGAGCCAACCAAGATGTCTGGCTGAAAATTTTTAGGTTTTTGAACTTTTGTATTTCCCAGGTTCTTGAAGTTACAGGGATTTTGAATATTAGTTTTTTTCCGAAACTTTGGAGTCATTTCTTTGACCTCAATTATCTCGGGTCCTTCAAAAGATATCAAAAATCTGTCAACTGATAAAATGTTTATCATAATATCACCAACATTTTATCAGTTGACAGAATTTTTATATCTTTTGAATGAGCCGAGATAATAGAGTTCAAAGGGCCCTTACAAGCTGAGCTACGCTGTCGACGTCCGCAGTCTGCGACCGTGTGGCTCAGACAGTAATGGTCCGTTGACCTGGATTATCTCACTTTTCATGACAGATATCAAAAGTCTGTCAATTAATGAAATATTTATCATTTTATCAATAAGATTTTATCAGTTGCCAATTTTTTGATATCTTTCATAGAAATTGAGATAATTGGCCTCAAAGTGCAAGAGTGGCGTTCTGTTGGGAGAAAATTGTTATTGTCAACTTTTCCTACATATAGCTTGGCTCAGATTAGGAATTTCTTGATTATTCCAAAAATAAAATGTAGAACAAGACGAAATCTATAAAATGATATTAAATTCCACTATATTTCATCTTGGGTATGAATCAGGGGTAAGAAAGTCAGGCTGACTCTATCCAGACTGATGTTACCGCCCCCCCCCTTTNATAATTTTTTAATTTCAGGCTACAAAATACCCTAAACACTCTAATANAACGCCACCCGAATCGTCGAACTTGAACCCATGTATCTCATTTTCTGTAAAAGATATCGAAAAGTTGTCAACTGATAAAATATTGCTGATATTATGATAAACATTTTATTCGTTGACAACTTTTTGATTCCTTTCAAAAGAAGTGAGATATATAGGCTCAAAACGGACGGTCCGGTTTTCTGATTTTTCGATCCTCCCAAAAAATTTGTGTAATTTTTTTTTCCGAATTTTTAGGAGCCACACATGTTTTCCATTTGCTTTTTGATCTTTTTGTTTTGCCGTCTTTTTTCTAGGACTTGGGGATTAGTCACAAAAATCACATTTTGATTTTTCCTAGATTTTTCTGTTTTTATGGTTTCTGGACTATTTTTATAGCTAGATTATGACTGAAATTTTCGATTTTGAAGTTTTTTTGCATTTTTTGATACCTGGAAATAAAACTAGAAAAAAAACACTTCCGAAAATTGAAAATCAATCCTTTTGTTTATTTTTTTTTCCTTTGCAAACTCCAGATGTCTGGTCTTTTGACTCCTCTCCGCCCAGGTTTTTTTTTGTTCATGGATTTTCTTTCAATCTTTTTATTGTTCTTCTCTTCCTCAGCTATAAAATGGCAAACTTGACG